ACGGTTTAATTTCCTAAAAACAACCAAGCCTAGTGAGGAAAATGCCCTTTCGCTTCAAGTATTTTAGCTCATAAAACAGACACCAACTGGATCACTGCAGGGCGAAAAAAAAAAAAATAAAAATAAAAATAAAAATAAAAATAAAAAGTTCATGGAAAAAGGTCCGCGGACCCGCATCTCTTGATTTTCTCTCTCACATCGACAATCTTGCAATCAGAAAGGGGAGGAAGAGTCTCTGCACAGTGCTTTATCATCCATTACATGACGTGCAGCAATTACATGAGCCTCTCTCTACCTCTACAATACATAGAGATGGGCGCAAGCAGGCAGACCAGGATCGATTTACACAATGTATTTTAGAACCACCCAAATTCCCTGGCAGAAGACGACGGTGCTTCCAATATGCGCAGTAGAAAACCGTTCATCACACTTATCGAGCATTTATGGCTGGAGCCTGGAGGACGACAAGTAGAACATAAGAGTGGCAATTCACGATAACAAAATAACATCGCGTGCGTTGAATCTGCTGCATACCTGATGAACTGCGTAAGGACCCCAAAAAAAGGGGTCGCTTTTTAGGATCTCTCAGCAGCAGCAATCACGGTGGTGATGATGCCCCAGAAGGAGTTTGAATAACTAGGCCAGCCACTCCATTCATCTACCCTGCTCTGTTGATAGATAGTGTCCCAGTGTATAACATCTCCGGAAAGCAGCAACAAAATGCGGCTCCTTACAAGTTGCAATGGCAGTAAAAGATTGAAAAAGGAAATCATATGAGTCGATCTATTTATTATGGAGACAAATACTTGTTCTCTTTCTTGCCTTGTATGATATCATCATCCTGCCTTGTGGAGATGTATACCCTCCCTTGCACAAACCGTTCTGTGTTTCAGATGCCCTACGGGGCTGGAAATGTCAGCACATAAGAACTGGAAATAATGGGAGAAAAAGGGGGAAAGAGAAGCACACAAATTATATCTATTAACTGTGGGAGGATTTTTACCCGTCTGCATTCCAATTTTTATGTACCAAGAATAATATGAACATGGAGGGCTAAAACAAAAAGCCAATGGAAGGCCTGGAGAAGCACGAAAGGGGAAAAAAAGAGTAGAAGAAGAAGAAGGGTAAAAAAAGGAAGAGGAGGATGGAGGATAAAGAAAATATGTTGCACAGAGGTTGCCAATAAAAAAAAAAAAATACTATCACTCTTGAAAAAAAAAACCAGTTGATAAACATTTAACAAAAGCAGTTGCCAAATAACAGATGGGAGAATCAGTTGGCGGGGATGGGATGGACAAAGGCAGGTAAGTATTGGAGAGGTAGATTAACTGATGTATATGGTAATAGACAATACTATCTGACATATAAAAAAAAGAGGATATGATTCAGGGAGGTAGATGCGTGATAGGAAAGCGACTGCAAACGAGGGCGGGTTCTTCACAAAGAACAATATGGAAATAAAATAGATATAAAACATGAATAAAAAATCATAGCAAAACGAAAAAATAGAAAAAAAACCCTGTTTGGTAGGTTGCAATGTTCGTAAAAAAATTAAAAAAGTGCTTAAAGGGAGGGCAAAAAAAAAAAAAAGTACCAGCCCCAAATTATCAGCTCAGCTTTCCGCAGAGATAACAGTAGGAAAAAAAAGTTCGTCATCTCTTTCTTCTCCTCCACTCCCCTTCCCGAATCGCAATCTTCCGCAGGATCTTAGGAAAAAAAATTTTTTCAAAACATCACATAACGCGGTGGGAGCGCGCGGTCAGAGCAACATCGGATAAAACACTTCAGCCCATCAATGCCTCTCCCTCATCTTCCTTTCCCTTCCTAACATCATAGATCAATAAGGTTCCCACTCTGTTGTGGCTGTGCCACATACCCCGGCTGCATTCCAAAGGGATTGTTATTGCGCTGCTGCTGTTGCGGAGCTCCCGTAAACTGCTGGTTGAAAAAAGGGTTGTTCGCGGTTTGGTTCGGTTGGAGACGGTCGAGGCCTTGGCCGGCGGAGTTTACGAATACGCCAGGCGCGGTGTGCTGGGCGGGGATACGGAGGTCGCCGACGTTACCAAAAGTGTCTTGACCCTCGCCGGTAGCAAGGAGGGCGTTGAGGCGGGCATGTTGCGGGTTTCGGGTTTGTTGCTGCTGTTGTTGTTGTTGTTGCTGCTGTTGTGTATTGAGGGGTAACTGGTAATTGATGATGGGGTTTGTTGATGATTGGCTATTAGTGAACTGTTGGGCGGTGCGTTGTTCAGTGAGAGAATTGAGGGATGGTGGGCCGGTCTTATGGATCTGCTGCGCTTGGGTTCGTGTGATGACGAGGCAAATGGATTGTTGGAGCAGTTGGCATAGGTTTGAGGGCATCTAATGATTGTTGTTGGTTTGATGCCATGGGTTATGGGTCCCTGGCTGAAGAAAGCCATTATCTTGTTGCTGTTGCTGTTGCGGTTGTGGTTGGGGCTGTGGCTGGCCAAAAATGTCATTGCCATAAGGGTTACTGTTGAATGAGGTTTGCTGTGGCTGGAGGGTAGGTTGGGGCTGCAAGAAGTTATTTTGCTGCCCGAACTGATCGTAGCCTGGCTGCTGCGCGGGGAAACCGCCCGCATATCCATTTGTATAACCAGTTTGTTGTGGCTGGAATCCGGTTGGCTGAGCGTATTGATTGTTCAAGTAACCGGTTGACATAGGTTGTTGTTGATCCATTGGGTTCCCAAACCAATCTACTGCTGGCTGCTGCTGATATCCCTGGTTATACCCTGTCAATTGAGGCTGAGCAGGTTGCACCGCAGAGGGGGTGTTGTCGTCGAACAGCGCAGAGGGATTGCTCTCTTCCAGTTCACGTCTTCGAAGCTCCTCTTCTTCCTTACTCAGTTTTATAGCCTTGGCAAGATCGTCATCGTCATCTTCGGCGCGTGCTACCCTTTCGCGTCGTTTCTTCTCCTCTTCGGCTTCATGCTTGCTGGCCTCGATTGCAAGGCGGTATTCCGCATCCTCTTCATCATTTGGTCTTTGAGGACGATCCCGTCTTGGAGGACGGCCTGGCTCACTGCCGCCAGCAATGCCATGTATACCATCGTCGATTCCGCTGACACGCGATTTCCAGAGTTTCCGATCAGAGCGTTCGTTTCGCAGCCGATCTTCATCAAGGATCAGGGCGGTTAATTCCTTCGCGGAAACTCGGACTATTTATAAACAATTAGTGACAAAGAGATTCCTTAGGCCTCAGCCTGTTGATATGTATTCGGTGCCTAACCATTTTGTCCAACATCGCGACCATCCTCATCAATATACTGGAACTCGCGCAATGTTTTAATAATATAAATATTCTTTCTGGCCCATGTAACTACCATCTCGGAACCTTCATGAAGGCAGTAGTCCAACACTTTCAATGACTTGAGCACATGTCGCCAGTTCTTGCCCTTATCGTTCAGTCGCTTATCTAGCATGTCCATAATCTCGTAGAAATCGCTGGGACTGTATTTAAATATAGCCGGTTAGTAAGAAATAGCTAAAATTATAAACTAGTAGCGGGGAGTAAGACTGAAGTGGATCTTTATAGAGCGGTGTAATTGCTAACCTATGAAAAGTCATCGCCGCAATTTCCCCCATCTCTGTTCCTGTAGGGCCCCAAGGGTCATTACTCGTCGCTATACGAACAAAGTTATAATAAATTAGCATTATGGAATAGAAACATATGAAGAGGGAAAACGACGGAAATGAACAAAGCACGTTCATAAAAAAGGATGGAAACATACCATTGCGGACTTTGACCTGCACAGACGAGTATCCCTTGGTAACATTCTTTACACTCCTCACAACCTTCGACATGGTCGCGATATGAAAAGCCTCTCACCCCGAGCTATTGTTTCCTTAAAATAAACAGAACAAAGATGGACAAATTAAAAAGATACCAAAAAAAAAAAAAAAAAATCTCGGATTATATGACAACCCGATGATGCGATGGATTCCTCGTCGTTCCTTTCTGTTGTTGTCGTCCGGGTATGTACCGATGACGATTGCGTGTACCAAGGGAAAAAAAAAAGAGTTATAGTCTCAGAGAAATAGCACAGCTTGTTCTTCAAATTAACAACTCTATATCGTCTTATAGAACTGTGAATAAGCCTTTCCTTTTGCCCTTGTTGTTTTGAGCACGCTATGTATTGTAGGTGATATTTGCGGATGATGAGGGGGTGTGGTGGCGGGCGGGCGGCGCGGCGTGGAACGACAACCTATCTTGCTGCGCAGAAACCCCAGGAGATCGTCTCTCCTGGATTCTAGCGTGGGAGAATCGACCCCGAATTTGGGCTAAGAAAAGAAAAAGGAGACAACACTAGGCTAAGAAGCGCAAGGTTATTGGAGGAGGGATCGAAGAGGAGATGGCGGGAGATGGTCGTGTGGTGGAGGAGGATGGTGATGATGTTGTTGTAAAGGTCGAATTGGCTTGTTCCCAATGCGGCTGAGTCGCCTCAAACATGCTGTGTGGCGCGGATATAATCACGTGATAATATCTTCCCCCTTTACCGAGCCGAGCCGGTAGAGCACGGAGGTGAAAAGGACGATTTCTTTTATCATCATCAAAGAAAAGAAGTGGCAATTGTTAAGTCTACATGAAAGGGGGAGAGTCATGAATGATAGATAAATAAATAAAAATAAAATATAAGCCAATAGGAGAAAAAAATTAATCTACAGCCCTTCCTTGGCGATATACGTCCCCTCCGCCTTCTTGATACACTGAATATTAGCCCCCAACTTATTCAACGTCTCAACATACTCATCATACGGATCCGAATCAAACACAATTCCCCCTCCCGCCTGCAAATATGCAACCCCATCCTTCATCAACATGGTTCGCAGCGCAATGCAGGTATCCATCGCCCCATCAAAAGTCTCCTTCCCATCTGTACTAGCACTATTGTATCCAAAATACCCTACCGCCCCCGCATACACCCCGCGCTTCTCACCCTCAAGCTCAGCAATCAACTCCATGGCCCGTACCTTAGGGGCCCCGCTGACCGTGCCGGCAGGGAAGATGGAGCGGAAAGCATCGAAACGTGTCTTTTCCGGCCGCAGGATGCCCGACACCTGCGACACCAGATGTTGCACGTGCGAGAATTTCTGCACGGCCATGAGCCAGTCAACTTTTGTGGTTACCGGGTCGCAGACGCGGTTGACGTCATTACGCGCGAGGTCGACTAACATAACATGTTCGGCACGGTCTTTTTCGCTGTTGCTGAGCTCCGAGGCGAGTTGGGCATCCTCCTGCGGGGTTTTCCCGCGCTTCACAGTGCCGGCGATAGGATGCGTAATTATCCGCCGTCCTTCTTGTTTGACTAGTAATTCGGGACTCGCGCCTATGAGCTGGAATTCGTCGCAGTCGATGTAGAAGAGATACGGGGATGGATTCACGGTGCGCAGGTGTCGGAACAGGTTAAAGGGGTGAAGAGACGTGGGGCGTGCTAGTCGTTGTGAAGGGACGGTTTGGAAGATGTCGCCTTTCATGATATGTTCTTTCAACGCCTTCACATGGCCTTCGTATCCTGCCTGCCCAATATTAGAAGTATACTGCTGGTCCCGTTTAATTGGTGGCTGCGGAGGGAGAGGGATGTTATGGTTTAGCAACACATCGATGGTATGCTGGATGACCTCTTGACCCCGTTTATATTCTACTTCAAGATCTTCACAGCCGTTTTTTGGGAGTCGCACATAGGTGATAACCTTGACAACCTGGAAGAAGTGGTCGAAGGCAACGATGGTATCGAACATCATGAATAACGACTCAGGGACCTTGAGAACATCTTTCATAGTCCGTGCTGTCTTGGGCTCGAAATATCTCACGCAATCATAGCTGACGTAGCCAATTGCTCCGCCGGTCATGGGCGGCAACCCCAAGCCTGGTAATGTGGCGACGCGGAACTGGGAAAGCTCTTCCTCGAGGGCGGGGAGTGGATCGCATTCGGGGCCATGGCCGGGACCGGTTTTGAGGACTTTTCTGGGGTCTAACGCGGTCAGAAACGGAAGTGAGATAGGTTTTGTTGGCATATCGTTGCAAGTGAGAAAAGGGAAAACATACCAGCTCCCACAAAGCTATATCTCCCTATTGTCTCCATCGTAGTAGCGCTTTCATAGAGGAAGGAGAGTTTGGAGCTACCCAGAATAAGTGAATCGCAATACGTTAGGTTGTAGGCCTCTGCAAGAATGAAAATCAATAGCTACATGCTAAACTCACTTCTCCGAGATTTTTAAATATGCCACAGTAGGAGTGAGTAGATCTGCGGGCACGGAGGCTACCAGAGGAACGAGGTTGGGCGGATACGGCGACCCCTTTGATTGTGCCAGGACATCTTTAACCACATCTAATGTGGGTTGAATCACAACCTACCACAGATTCGAACAAAAAATCAGCTACAATCCAAGACAACCTCGAGTTTTCCGGAAAAAAGAAAGAAATGATGGAAGCGCAATTCAATTGACAGCCCCCCCAAAAGAAAAGGTATACAAATAACACACTCGTAGTGACATGGTTGCTCGATGGAGGCGTGCGCGTGGTGCATCTAGATTCACGGCGGGGTGTTGCGGGTCTCGTAGTAGTACTATGAACGATGCTGGATAAACCGGTCCTTGAACAGGATTTCAAACAACCAAAACAAATCAATTTCATAGAAGCAACTCTCAGCTGTAAAAATGGGGAGACGGAGGGAGGATGGAGGTGTCAGCATTTTCCTGTCAATGACTGTCTCCATAGACAACCGAGCTCTTTTGCCCAAAGGCTCAAACCTACCTTGCAGCCAACCAAATGCCGCGTTTCAGGCTTGGCGACGCTCAATCGGGAGCTGGCAGATTATGTCATGCGTACAGCCGGGGCCACGGAAAATCCGATCCCGTAACTTAGTTAGTCTCCTGTATGAACGGGTGTAAGGGACTTAGTCAGCCCCCAAATTGCACCAGCCACATTTTAGCCTGATAAGGGCTGGCCGGCGATTTAGCGGCGATTAGCGGCAGCGTTTTGGCACCAAGCTTAGGCGTAGACCCGCCCCTCGCGTCAAACAGTCAAACAGGGGTAAGAAAGGAGGTGGAACAGGGATGATAAATAAATTAAATCTCTGCCCACGGTGAGTTACAAAAATACTTGTGTTGTAGGAAGGAATTCACTTTGTAGTCATTCTTTTCTGTTTGCAAACCTTCCCGGTCTTTTAGCAAACCCCATGAATTATTTCCTTTGATGTCTCTTGAAACCCAATTCCGAGAGAAAATAGCCAGCCCCCGCACCTTCTTTTCTGCTCCTCCATTTACAGAGTACATATAGACTAATTCAATAACCCCCATTTGTCTAACGTAGGTATCTACCAAAATCAATACAGTACACAAGAGAAGAGAGACACAAACATAGAAAATTCCCAAGGCTGGGCCGTCGCCCCTGCAAGAGGCACATACGAACACAATATTTTTTAAAGAAGAAGAGAGAGAGGTGGTATATAAGAATATAGTAATATAAACTAACAAGAAAAAAGAGAAAGAAGATATGGGAGGGGAAGGAGGATTTGAGAGGTCGTCTCCTCCGCTCAACCCGTATGATCCGGGTGCCATGCCGACGACTACCAGAATGATAACGACAACAGCATCATCGTCATCGACATCAACTCCCGGTTCCCCAAACATTAACATTAATATTAACAATACTTTTGCCGACTCCGCAATCGACATGGACTGTTCTCAAACGCCAGACACGACGGTAACAACAACGACAATGCCAATGCCAACACAAATGAAAGCAATAACACTTTCACCTCAAAAATCAACAATAACAATAACAATAACAATACCAACTGTCACAGAACGCCTGATGCGCCTTGCCTGTTTGATGGCTGATTTAAATTCCAGTTCTGGCAACGGCAAAAATGATAATGACAACGATAATAAAAGTAGTGGCAAGAAGAAAAATAACCAAACACATCCCCACATGCCATCGTTGCGATCATTGTCGCAGCAGAAATTAATCGCTATCAATCGACGCCTAGATGGTATCGAGGGGCTCCTGCTGGATCTCCAGGGTGACGACGAGATTGGGATCGACGGAGCAGACGAAGGGAAAGAAGAAAACGGGGATGAGGAAAATGAGGAAAATGAGGAAATCGAGGATGAGAAGGAAAGCGGCGCTGGGAAATCAATAACCAAGTCGTCCGCGTCCGCTGCCTCCGACAGTATAGGGAACGAACTTGCAAATACCAGCCACACGGCATCAACTATACATGTATCACTACCAGCATCACCATTGTCATTGCTATCGTCGAATCAACTCGCCCCGCCACAGTTGGTTCCCAAACGGGAACCGCCGGAAATTGAATTCCAAGCAAATGGCAAGGACAAGAGTCAGAGGCAAGTCGACTATCGCGAGCTGGAAGTTTTAATGCGGGACTTGCAACGCGTTACGAGGTGCCTTGAGCAGCGACGCACTGAATGTCTTCATCTGAACGCCGTGTTCACGGTGAAATGCGAAAAGCTCGCGCAGCGGATTCTGGAGATGGAGGATGAGATTGATGAGCTGTAAGTTTGTATTTCCCCGGTTTCTTTTTCTTTTTGTTGTTTCCCCCCAGCTTCTTAAGAGGCATTGGACCAAACCAAGCCCAGTATCCTCCCGATTACTCCTGCTCCTACCCTGTCGGTTTCCTGATGAATCCTTCTTCCCCAAAACATCACTTTTTTCAAAAGAAAATATTCTATAATTTTGAACGATATCCAAAGAAAGCAATTGTGGGTATCGATGTGAATCCTTCTTTATTGGCAGGGTTATAATGAAAAATCTTAGTGGAACCTTAGTTTTTCCCCTTTATTTTGAAAAAAAAAAAAAAATAATAAAAATAAAAATAACAAAAAATAACGAGAGAGAATCAACAGACGTGCAGAGAAAATCGAAAACGCAGTCGAATTAGAAGGTTTAAAGCGCACCATGCGAGGATTGGAAGGTTGGATACGGCGTTGGAAGAAGAAGCTGCATCGACGCGATGAAGCAGGAATGAACCTGGATCTGGATAGCGACTCTGAATATACATGGTCTTCGGTAGATTCTTCTCTTTTTGGTCGTGCAGGAGGAAAGGAGGGGTGGGCTCACAGCAATGAAGTGAGTAGGTTGATGGGAGTGGTTGATGGTAGAAATGATGATATCGATATGTTGATGGATGGGATCAGGATGTGGTTTCGTGACTGGGATGAGGTTGAAGAAGGATTCAGGATCAGAGCTCGCTTGAGGGAGCAGAGGATGGCTATGAGATTGAATCGGGGCCGAGGGGTGGGCTGATGCCTTCAGTGTTCTATGGCAGATTGCCTCGTTTGTTCTAGGCTAGATTTGACTGTGCCATACCGCGATTATTCGGTTGCCTGATAGTGCGTACCGATTATCTTGAATTTTTGAAGATAAGTGGGGATTTGGTTTGGGGTACGCAAGGTATGGCAGAGAGAATAAGCTCCAACTATCCAACTACCCATCCTTTGTGATGTAGTATCTGCAGTTTATCAGCCAAGCTGATAAATATTTTATTGCAGACTCCAAAAACTCCGGCTTGCGTCATGTTATGGAGATAATAAGGATATCTGCAGTGTCGGGACATATGGGGGGACGGTTATGCCAAATATATATATCCTAATATGCTTTTTGAGACGTATTTTTTCATCTGTAAAGTATCTCCGCATCTGTACACGGACGCAAGTATGATATGTCTGGCGTATTCAATTGACAGATGATAGGACCATTGCAAGTGATACACGATGCCTTTGAACTAGGTTTTTAGCAAACAGGTGTCATCGTTGAAGATTGATGATAGCCATCTATAGCAAAGCAGTTAGTGAGTAAAGTTAGGCGAGAAGCTAGAAAAAGTATAATTTGCAAGGGGAACGGAAATAGCGACGATAAACTTCGCCTTACCTGTTTCCCAAATCCCAGAGCAAGTTTCTTGCCGTCACAATCCCACGATAGGGAACGATAGAACGCAGCATCCTCCAAATCCTCCACATTTTTACTATTATTACCTGCTCCATCCGAGTGATCTACAACAGTTCTTGGCGCCGTCCATTTCGCCAGCGCCACCCCACCACGCTCCACACTCCAAATAAAAAGTCTATCATGCGTCGCCGCGGCGATGGCGTAGCCATCTGGCGAAAATCTCGAGCATAGAGCCGGAGACGACGCGCCCAGGTACAAGCGGTGCAAACACTGGATCTGCTTCGATTCCACATTTATGTTCCAGAGCTTAACTGTATCGTCCATAGAAGATGTGGCGAATAGCAGCGATGTACTCTTTTGAAAAAGACTTGACTGCGGCTGTGGTCGGAGCTCGAGCGCCGTTATATCCCCATGGTGGGTCGCGCTGACACTGATGTCATGGGTGGGAACCCAAATATTTGTAGTCGAGCTGGAAGCGGTAACGGCCACTGGTGAACCGGCTATCATGGCGCTGGCAATGAATGTCCACGGCTCCTGTCCGTCATTGGAAGTGTAAGTTTTGTTGAGGAGGAGATCAGTAACCCCGCGGTACTCATATACCGATCCATCTCCACACGCATAGATCATCTCATCACTACACCACGATACCTCATGGACTAGCCCATCTATCATCTGTGGTGCTGGGAACTCATCGGGTCGAACTGCTTGGTCCCACAATGTTAATTCGGAGTGCTGCCCATCGGATAAGACCACAATCATCCGCAGCCCTCGAGGAGCCCAGTAGAGTCCAGATACCATCCTTGGTAAGTCCGGGAGTAGGTCTACAGCAGTCCCATCGTGCCCATACATGGTAATGTTTCCATTCATTGGATCTTGGTAGGTAGCTACTGCGAGCATCTTGCCAGCAGAATCCCAACTCGAGGTGGTTACACATGTTCCATCCCCTTGAGTTTCGACCAAAGGCTCATAAGTCGGTGCAACTGCAGAACGTGGCCCTGACAGTTTCCAGAGGCCACAGAATGTGTCCCCGGCTGCAGTCACTGTTGTTGGATCATCTGGCCGCCATAGTGTCTGTGTTATCTCGCTGTTACTACCGATGTCAAAGAGGGTAGTGTCTGGACCCAAATCGGCTGCTTTAGAGGGAGATATTTGAACGCCAGTACTCTGACCGACTGTTAAGGTGAAGATCGGTGGAGATGGTTCCCGCTCATTTTGTCCTCGCATACCAACGTCCCCATCCGCATCTACAACAGGCTCGGCCGGGGGCGACGCCTTGGCTTGGGGGACTCGTTCTTGGGCCATGCCTTGCTGGTCAATTTCCATGGGTGTTTCACCGTCATAGAACGACACATCGCCATCCTTGGCACTCGCAGACTTCCCAGGCTTCCCAGATTTTGGCGTCGTAACAACTTCATTTGCATGCCCATTGACGATCCCGTCCGTTGTTGGTTTGCCCACAGAAGGCTTGGGGGGTGCTGTGCGGGTGCCGGTTTCAGCGCCGGTTCCATCTTTGACATCGCCATGGCCTGGCTTCCGCGCTGGAGTGCGCGAGTCACTAGCAACAGGGCCGAAGAATGATACGGTGGTCAAGGGCAGTGGATTCCCGGCCTAAAATAGTAAGAGAGAATTGTTAGATTGGCATGGCGTGGGAACCGAACAGCACCAACTTGGCCAGCAAGGTTGCATACCTGGTCTAATGATTGTTCAAGTTCAAAATACTGAAGCCCTTTCTGAATCAGAACGATCAGGGCATGTGGTTTAATATACGATGCGAATGGGAAATCTTGGGGATTGTGGTTCCAGGCGCGTTGTAGCATCAGTGCAGCATCTCCGTGGCCTATGAACATTCATGAAAATTGCTCAAGCGGTTAGCGACCAATCCCAGCAAAATAAAATCAAATTCGTTGATCACTATAAAACGAACCTGATTCCTGTAAATATCTTCGTTGAGAAAAGGGTTTGTCAGTTAACTTTTCATTATTTAATTATTATTGCAACGGTGATGGGGTAAGATAACATCAACGTTTTTCTCTCTCGTTTTTGGAGTGGGATTGCGGGTAGGAACACCAAACAGAGGCGGGCATATATGCAAAACTCACCTCCAGATCAAGTAGTTGACGTGATGTGACGTGAGGCCATCATACGCCATGGTGACATGTGTAAATGCTGTGGCTAACAACAATGAAATACAAATACCAAGGTAATATTAGCCAAAAAATACCAGCCTCCACGACAGGTATTAATGTCCCCCCAAGCGCAGCACAGGAGCAAAGAAGGATTTGAAAATGGAACGCAAAAGGTGACGAGCCAGTGGATTCGAGAAATGGACGACCGAGTAACTCAGGGGGACAACAGGAACCTGCGACGGGAATCCAAAGATTAAATTAGAGCTTGACACGCGGAGGAGGGAGGGCGGCTTGAAATCGTGGTGCTTGACGGTCTGATGCAGCGGCGCCAACCGGCAATCGATCCAAGGAGAATAAATTCAAAAACTACAGACAACAGCCGAGATAGTGATAAGGAGTTTGAAATCGAGAAATCGAGGACAAGGAAGAGGAATCAAAGCGCCCACAATTTCGAGGTTTTCCTTGAGGGGGAAAGGGATTGAAGATTGGCACTATGAAGATGGACCTTTCTTTAGGCGTTAGAGTTCAAACCCACCAAGGATTAGTTAGTTCTGATGCTTGAGAGGGCGATCTCGCACAGGTTTCCGTCGAGGATTCGGCAGGCTAGCAACTTAGCAAAGGCTTCCAGCCTCTGGGCTGAATCGTTGAAATTTTGGGCTACCGCTCATTGAGGAATGAAGATGGATTTGTCGAAACGCGTCAGAAACACCAGTGGGTCGCAGATAGGACAAAGCGCCTGTTGACAAAGCGCCTGTTTTTCTGTCCCACGGAGCTATGATGCAGGATTTGAAACTACCTTTGCGCGGTCGTTGTATCCGGGGGTTGTCCAGCGGATAAACGATCTTGGGGGCGATTTGCCAAATCTGGGAAGCGAAGATTGCTCGACCTTTTAAATGGCAAGGAATGGTTGGTTGGTCGCCGCTCCTTGCCTTGGTTGGTTCCTTTCGCCAAGTTGCTCTCGTCAAATATCCCAGCGGGCCAGAAGTTGTGTCTCGATCTCGGACGATGTTGGCGGCTGAAGGCGCCGGGTTGGCCCGATCGGGCTAGAGGCTGGCTGCCGTGACAGTACGTTACCGGGATTGGCGGTGCTTGCCAGCATGGAACCGGTGGTATCAAACAGAATGCAAGGGAATCAACAAAACCTTGAATTCTACTTGTTATACCCCGCACAGTAACAGTATTGCGAACATTCAGCATTCAACAAGCTCAACGCTCAGTGCTATGCGCTATGCTATTTCTCCATAATTCAATATCGTGTGATCGATCATGTGTAGTTTATCCATGGACATCAATATAAACTTGAACCGTTGGGGATCCCGTGGGAGACGAATGAATAAATTGCCCTACCGTCTGTCGAATCAAATATCTACTAGACATCGCAAGAAGCTCGATATAAACTTAAATCAAGATTGCTCAAAGTTAAGCGTGATATGCGAGTACAAACGGCCCGGCGTTTGTTGTGCCTCTGTCGAACATTTCCTGGGCAACAAAACCATTCGTTTATGCACCCATCGCATCATGGCAAGGCTCCTTGGGGTTCAACTATAGTTTGCACGCTCCCAAAAGAAATTTGTGCACCTCCTATAATTAACCGTGAGATCCTGAGTTGCTGGAAAGAGAAAAGAGTCCACTACCAACAATCTAATGTCGAGCAAGAGCCTCTTTGCTGTCCATGAAACTGTGAAATCCAACACATCGACTGTGGGCATCCCGTTTTATTGTTCTACTGCGTATTTTCTATTCTTCCGTGCCTAGTAGTTACTAGTACCCATATCGATGGCAGATGGCTATTGCAATTGCTATCATGATCTCTCCTCGTCTGGCGTGGCGTCATGTGATCGCATTTTAAGGAGGTCCTGCGACCTTCATCACACTCGCTGAAGCCGCCAGC